CTAAAATAAATTAATCGTTCAGCAATTTCAATCGTGGGACAATCGAGACGTTCGAAAGTTTTCTTTTTATTCTCCCTTCGTCGTAAAAGCCGCGCGTCGCGATGCCTGGCTATTCTTGAGGCAAGTGAAATTCTTCCCCTCGTTCTTGTTTTTAGAAACAGTCGCTTATTGGAAACGGCAGACAAAATAAACAACTTCTCGCGCCGGTGTTACGGAAAGAAACATTTCGCGAGGCGTTCCGTTTGGCAGATAACGGAACAGACGAGACGTAGACGACCGATTTTCATGTACCCGCCTTTAAATATGTATATTTTCGAAACATCGACGCTTGTTTAGCGTACGTTACACGTTATCTTCGATTTTAGCTTCCATAGAGTTAATAAAAACACGGTTATCGTGCGTTTTTCAAGTTCACGGCGAGGAAGATGTTCCCGATCGGTTAGCGATGCGTTGATGCTCTCGTACCCGCTGTTGTTTCGGTAGCACGAAGCGACTGAGGTCGTATATCCACTCGCCTCGTGCATTCCGACGAACGGTTACACGCACGAATGCGCGCCAGCATGGTAAGCGACGCGATTATTGCATTCAAACTGCCTCGACAAACACACACTAAGCAAATTTTGGTGTAATCAAACACTCAAATTGAAATTCGAATTTGAATTCCAGTCGAAAAGTTCTACGTAGAATTGGATTCGATACATGACAATGTCGAGTTAATACTAGGTTGATACTTGGACTGAAATTTTAATTCTCAAAAAACTACAGAATGCACTTAATTTAATAAAAAATTTTCGAGAAAAATTCTCTGGAGCAATGTGTTTTATTTTTCTTATAAAAGAGAGGCTCCTCCCTAACTGAAACAGTTTCTGCCTCTGTAACTGTAAAGTAGAGGGTATTCGGTGATCCCTGGCAAAAATTATAATGGGGGATTCTAGATGCCAAAATAAGACGAAAATCAAGAATAGTAATTTTTTAATTGAGGCTTCGTTAAAAAGTTATTAACGTTTAAAGTTGCGCCTGTGAGACGGGAACCGTGCGCGCTGCACATTTTAACTTTAAACGTTAATAACTTTTAAACGAAGCCTCAATTAAAAAATTATTATTCTTGATTTTCGTCTTATTTTGGCCTCTAGAATCTCCCATTAAAATTTTCCCAAGGTTGAAGCTTCGTTAAAAAGTTATTAACAATGCGCAACTGTTAATAACTTTTTAACGAAGCCTCAATCGACAAATTGATATTCTTGATTTTCGTCCTATTTTAACCTCTAGAACCTCCCATTACAATTTTTTCCCAGGGTTGGCCGAACACCATACAGATGGCGTGGCAATCGGTGTTAATATTGTTTGCATTGAGTTTCAAAATAACTCTAGGACAGTTTCTAAATGTCTACTCTCGTAGATTGATTATCTTTTGTGTGGAGAGGATCCAGGTCTCGAGACGACCCGTTACACTGACAGTGACACAGAAGAGAAATAATCAGCCAACAATAGACACAAAAAAGAAACTTGCATACATTAGGAGTACAATTTTTGTTCCCGTTAATTACTTAATAATAGATCTAACAACTTCTACTAGAGGGAAATAACTAATTTTCAAAAGGAACTAATATTATGACAGAAAATTTCCTCCAAAACTAACCTAAAAATATTTTTAATACGACATACTATAATCGACTCAACCTGTCGAGGTATGGAATAACAAATATGGCCGCCATGATCGTTCGAACGTCAAAGCATTGTACGGCCAACGATCTAAAATCCAATTCAGCGGTAAAATCCGAATTCCTGGATAACCAGGCGCCGTGCGAACATTCCGCTCGAAGTTAGAACTGTCCGTTGCAGCGTTCGTCTTCCTTCTTGAACTAAAATCCCCCCCGGTCGACGGCAGCGGTGGAAACCGGTTCCACGTGTTTCAAGAGCCGATCGTCGCAAAAAAGGAACACCGCGAACAATAAAAACCGCCTCGGAGGCATCGAAACAGGTGGTCCTTGTTGCGTTACCGGTGAAAATAACTTTCCATTTCACGAAAGTATTCGAGCGCGTATGAATTTCACGCGGCGAGAGACGCCTCGCGGTGTCTGGCGGCGTCATCGTTATTCGTATCACGAGTTAAATTACAGAGATATCGGGGGCTAGACGAAGCATACCACGACAAAACTACGCGTGAAACCACGAGGATACGAGCCACGGCGGCGTCAAATTGACGGAAGGATTAGAATATTGAAGAGAAATGCTCGCGCTTGGAAATGTTGCGAGGTTATGACGAAACTGCCGACAACGAAACCTAACCTCAAAACCGTTCGTTTGTAATACTGGAGAAACGTATTTAAAAGAAAGTTTACGATGTATCACGCGTGGTGAATGCTATTAATTCGAAGGAAATACAACGCAGAAATTAGAGGATAAGTTATACGCGCGAGGGGACTTTAAATAAACAAAATTATTAAACGCTTGGGCTATTTTTAATTCTTACGATTTCTCTCTGTTATTCGGCTGTGGATCGAAAGAGAAGAGACAATCTGAAGTTTAGTTACAATGTTATTGTATTTATTTACAATTTATTATTTTTTGAAGATATTAGAAGATTAAATTTTTTACGAGAAAATTGATGTTTTATACCACTCTGTACAAAGTACCTCAGAATCTCTGAATCCTTCTCTTAGAAAAAGAAAAAAAAAAACATACTATTTATTTACAATATTATTGCAGTTGTTTAAAGTGTGTTAATTTTCGAAAATATAAAAAGATAACACACAATTCAATTTTTGGAATCTAATGCTTTAGACCACTGTGCAAGGTGCCCCAGAATCTACAAATCCTGCAATTTATTTACAGCATTATTGCATTTATTTAAAATGTGTTAATTTCTGAAGGCATAAAATAATAGCATTAAATTTTCGACTCTAAAAATTAATGTTTTATACTGCTCTACATAGTACCTCAGAATCTCTGAATCCTCCTCTTAGAAAAAGAAAAAAAACCTACTGTTTACTTAACAATATTATTGCATTTATTTAAAGTGTGTTAATTTCTTAAAATATAAAAAAATAACACACAATACAATTTTTAGATTCTAACGTTTTAAACTACTGTGTAAGGTGGCTCAGAATATTGGAATATCTTTATTTAAAAAAAGGGGAAAACCTGCCATTTATTTACAAAATTATTGCATTTATTTAAAGTGTGTTAATATTTGGAAATATCAAAAAATAATGTACTCAATTTTTTTACAGTAAAATGAACTGTGCAAGAGATGGCCCAGAATCTTGGAAACCTTCTTTTAGATCTCCCTGTACGCGGCTAGTACAAAAATATCTTACTTCGGCCTAGGTCTGATCGATACTTTTCACCCACGTATCGGCACCACGTGTGAGGGTATTGGACCCATTGGCGACCGTGGTCGCGACATGCGAACCTAGAGTTCGTGGAACCAGACGTACTCGTCATTTCTCGACCAAGCAGCGCTACGATAAACATACACATGTAACTGTATACAGAGGCTGGACATTTTTACGCCCACTGCAGTATCGTGCCGTAACAACGGAGCCCTATACACACACCGTAATCGCAGGATATCGCAGGCCACTAATAACAATTTAATGGGTCACAACAACGGGCACTCGGCGTTCTCCCAATACCGAGACGATTAAGTCTAATTAATAACCTCGTGGTATCGTCCAGTAAGATGACTAACGGGGCCGCGCAAGTTTCTGAATGGAGGCTCGGTGTTGCCAGAGATTAGAATTTTACTTATTACTCTACTCGTTCCGCGATGAAGAAGTAAGTAAATCACGCCTGGTGTCTTGGTACTGATATACACGCGATTTCATTGACAATGACTATAGTCCCGCCTCGTACGTTTTACATAATTTCCTAGAAAACAAAGCCACCCGTAAGAGGTCGCTGTTCCGCAATAATTAGACGCCTTAATTGCAGACGGTTCCTACGCTTAATCGAGGAAACGAAATGGTTAATTCTCTTAGAGTATTTAAAGAAATAGACCACTGCAAAAAAACGTAAAAAGAGTATTAAGAAAATTGTTCAAAAAATCTGTGTACAATTTTTAACTCCCTAAAAATTTAATCACGATGGTTAATACTGTATTTTTACCATGGAATAAATTAAGTGAAAGATAATGTTGTTAAGAAAACCACGGGAAAGGGAAGACATATACATTTAGATACACATATAAATGTCTGGCACTGGTTCAGAAGTACTCGTCTCTATCGTGTCATCTTCTGTTCTTCTCTGCTGAACACAGCGTCTATTAGTTCTTAAATAATTCTGAAAATTCATATCTTGAATTACCAAGCACCTTATTTGCCATATCTATAACCATTGTTTATAAATTATCAGTTCGAATGAAAAACGGTCAACGTGGTTTCTATCATTGTTTACATCTTATGAAGAATTCTCCCCCTAACCTATATGTTGATATCTCAAACATAGTAATTAACCACGTTTACGAGCAGCCATTAGCATTCGAAGAGAGAGACACGCAAATATCGTGTATAAATATTACACGTTAAATATTTCGAAGCACCGGTATAGTACGTCAAAATGGTTTTGGCGCGTAACGGACTGTGCGCGATGTACCACGAATCACGACGCGCAAATGTAAACAGAGACCGGCACAAATATTATGATTCGAGATCGAAGCCGGTAATCGTGACCTAGGTAGGACTGATCGTCGCGAATTCAAACAGATCGACGGTTAAAAAGGAACGACCGAACGAGACGAGACGAAAGCGCGACGCAATTGGGTAAAAGAAAAGAGAGAGCCCGTTGGACGGAAGAGAGCATCGGCGAATGGTCGGTGGACATGCGCCCTTGAATCCGACGAGCGACCAGTGGGGTATACACGGTGATTTTCGAGCACGCGCGCACGGTAAACGCCGCCGCGTCGGGAGATTTCAAGAGAAACATCTTTATTCGTCGCGGAGTCGTCCACAACGCAACCACGACCGACCACGAATGAGCAAAAGGGTATTGGTACTAACCGTGCAAACGGTAGGACGGCGATCGGTGAGAAGGACTGGGAAGATCGTATCCAAAACGGAGCTTCCTGAGAGATCGGGGAGATCGGGGGGATCGGCGGTGAGCACACGCTGCGAACTATCCTTGGCACAAAAACACAACAAACGGTCACAGGCTCCACGGAGCGTACGCGAAAAAAAAGGACAATCGGCGACGGTCACTCTCGAAAACGGAGATCGATGATTTCCGCGCACGCACTACGCGCCAAGTGATGCAAACGAACGCGCGAGAACGTCGCGTGAATGTCGAATCGAAGACAACGTCATACAGATGGGCAGGACGCAGCCGCCGGCGTTCGGTTGTCACGAGAGCGAACCGCGATACGTTTTGGAGGTTAGGAGATGACGCGACGCGAATCGGACACGAGGGATCCGCGAACTTTCGGTAACCGCGTCGAAAAACGACGCTCTTTCCTCGGGAGACACACGCGCGACGCGTTAAAAAGGCTCGACAAACCGACGTCAGCAGTTTCACACCGTGCTGGTATTAATACACTGCAAAACTCGCGGTACTCGGCAAACTGGCGCTCGATCGCCGGAACCCACCGGAACAGTGGAACGTCGGGTGAAAAAAAAAACGCACGGCGTGGAATTACGAAGACGAAACGTTACACGAACACGAAAACTGCGCGTAATAGATCCGGCTAAGAGTTGTAGGCACGCCACGAGTAGAGGTAGGCGACGCTAAAACTTCGCCACGAGTCGTGGCACGCCACGAGAGGAGCCGAGGGTAGAGGGGGGTAGAGCGAGACGGCGAATCTAGAGGGGGAAGGAGAAGGTGGACGAGGGAGCCGGGGGGAGGACGGTGCCGACCACTCGACTCACGGCTGTACAAGGGTGCGGAGAGGTCAGAGGGGGAAATATGGCGACCCGCCGCAGGGACGTGGGGTGATTGAAGCGCACAAGCTGGAGGGGCACAGCCTAGGAGGGGTACCCGGAGGATCGAGGAGGGGAAACACGCAGCCGGCAACAGCCGACTCGACTCGACTCGACTCTCCCGTTCTTCTTCTTCTCATTCTTTCTCCGTCTGCCGCCGTTTCTCCGTCTCTCGCGACCATACGACGTATTGGTGTATCGGCACACGATACAAACTCACGGCGTTGCACACCAACGTGCGTATATACGGGGTGTCTTTTGACTCCGTAGCGACTTACTTTCGTCACCTGCGTTTCCCCCTTTCAACTTTCATTCGTTCGAGGTTAAATATTATTCGGGCAAATTTACCTCGCATGCAAGCAGCAAACAAATAGCAGTAAAAATTGAAATGCAATTCTGATATTCTGATGTATTACCTTTATCTGCGACTCTGTATAATCAGATCCCCTTAACATCTTGTAGAAAAATCGAATCAAGCAAAACATGCTCCCCGGAATACTTGAATTTTGCCTGATGGAAATTTTTACATCAGCACTGGCTCTGCAAATATTCGCCTATCATGTTTTACATACCTTAAATATACGTTTGGTTTTCCACGAGCATTATTTTTTGAAGCCTTTTCTCTTTGTAATGGCTCTTTTCTTTTATACGAGTTTTGAAAGTCACGGAACAAATTTTCTATTTCACCGTGAGCAATGTGTCTTTTTCAAACGGTGTTCTTTGGAACGTGACTTTCGCATAGAAAGAGAACCGAGTGTATTGCACACTGATTCATCAGAATTGCCGAGCGTGACGAGAAGCTAGCATAAACTTTTCATCCACCTGAATCTAAAAATATTTTATTAATCGTTAACGCGCGGATAAAAGATCTGTTTTACGGTGTTTTCGAATCGTAATTTAACTCGAGCCACTTGAATATTTTTTACCATTCTACTATTGTTCGAGCGTTGAATAATTCGTCGACAGATGGCGATGATGATGTTAACGATATTAAAAATGGCGGGACCTGTATTACTTTATTTCTCTTCTTGAATCGCTCGAGTGTTTTGGCACTAAGAATAAGAATAATAATATTTTACCTCGGGCCACAAAATAAGCAGATCTTCGTTCCGTGCGTTCCAAAAATCAAAATCGTACGTTCCACGGTCAAGGTGCCATCGGACTTCTTATATTCTCGTGTCGTGTACATAAATTTATTCCCCATTTCGTGACACCCGGTGTATACACGTGAACATGGTCGCATAGGCGAAAAGAATACGACTGAACAAGACGAGGAACCGAGAGGGCACGATGAGGGCCTGCGAAAGAATGGCCGAACGAGAAAGAGAGAAGATGGCACGAGAACGGTGGAGGGAGGCAAGGAGAAAGAGGAAAGGCGGGAGGGGAACGAACGAGAGACCTTGCACAGCGTGGCTCGAAGTCGCGTAGAAAACGCCGCTTTGTGTCGGGGTACCCTGCATAAGAGAGGAAGTACAGGTCTAAAGGAAAAGAAGGCCCTCGTGCGTCTCTGCTGCCGGCGATTCTCACACGTAAAGGTTTTTTCACACAGCTATTCACGTCTCGCTGGCGGACACTCGAAACTGCGCCCGGAGAAACAAAATGTCCGATGTCTTGCACGCGGGCTATTCTATTTCGCGAAATCAGCACGAACTTCTCACAAGTCGAACGTTGAAACATTTAGGGAACTCGGAGCCTGCACATCGGTGGCGATTCTCGCAGATTCTTTTCCACGATCGCCGTTTGGAAATTTAATGCGCGCGGTACGAATTTCTGTCACGCGTCCAATTTCGTTCGCGCGTGTTTAAAAACGCTCGTCGTTCAAGGAATTCCGAACGCTTAAATTTATCGAATGCTTCGCGGCTAACAAGCCACTTTTCAGCGAAGAAAAATTATATTTTTAAATTCACAGTACGCCTAACCTATCTTTCGCGCGTGACTCAAACCGAAGCCATACATATTTATTCCTGAATGTAAATGTGTTTTGTGATACAACACTAATGTTATGCCTGCTATTTGTTCTAATAGATATTTCAAGTCGAGCGTACTTCGCGAAGTGTACGTTGCTCGTAAAGTTCCATGGAATGTATATGTACATGACTTGCACCACTTTCATAATGGGTGATTCAGTCTCGAGCCGTATACGCAATGTGAACGGCTCTTAAGCCGTCGAGACGACCGGCACCGAAAAAAGAAATAACGCGTTACGCACCGCGACGTAAGAAAACTGCATTGCACGGTCTAAAATAAAAGACGAAACGACTATCCATCGTTTCTCGGTATTCCCGGCTATCGAATACCTCGAACGCGACGTACACGACGATTATGCTGGAAACTAATTTGTTAGAATCGCGCGCGGGTTACATAAAACCAGACAGCAACATTGATATTGCGCAATGGGTGATGCGAAATACACGTATTACAGACGATGGCCCCTACGAATATTCGAATTGCGTGAAGCTTTTGGTTGGGTATCGGTAAATTAAGGTAACGTCGAGCGACGTTCGGAAACAAAGGAACGATCTGTGGGGAAAGGGCATGCCGGTGAAGGGCACGGCCCTGAGACGCGCCTGCATGGGAACATACCCACAGGATCCTGCTCACCGCATACACAGAGGACGAGCCCAGGCCACCTTTTACGCGTAAACTCGTGCCGGTAGAGGTCGTGTTTGCGCACACACGGCGAACAGGTTTCTGGATGTCCTCCTGCGCTAGTGGCGCGCGGTATGATTGTCCTCGAGATGTGCTAAATTAGGACTAATGTACTGGGTGTCTCGCGATAAACAATGCAACGGCGAAGACAGTCCGTGGAAGAGTATTTAATTGAAGTACATAGAAGATAGGAAAAACCCCGGAAACGATGATTTGCAATGGATGAGAATAATTTCAAGGTCACTTTCATTTTCTGCTTTATTAGACGTACTTTTGTTTATGTAATGTTAGGTTATATGTTCGTACAGAGTTTTGTAGTACAACTTGAAGCTTGAAAATTCCGATTATCCTAATCGGAACTGAGGCAATTGCGGGATAGTTGGACTATGGTCGCATATGAAGTGATAAAAACGATATCGAATGTATTTTTTCTTTTCGGCCTATATTTCTGGGTCTCTGGAGACCCATTGCCATTTTTGTGTCACTCGCAATGTTATCAACAGGTTACAGATGTGAACATAGGAGGAAGTGAGATGGAAAATAAAATTACAGAAACATTTCTGACCATACGTTGTATTTTAGGTAAACTATTTTTTTTCTCGAAAACGCGTAGAAATTCGAAGGTATGTGTTTTCACCAAAAATAATTATAATTCACTCTCGCAAACGAAAATAATTTTTTCAGAATGATTTGAAATTTTTCAATTTTGTCGAATTTGTCAACCTTCAAGAATTTTTTTCTCGAAAACGCGTAGAAATTCGAAGGTATGCATTTTAACAAAAAATAATTGTTATCGATCCCCATAGTGAAAAATAATTTTTTCAGTATGATTTGAAATTTTTTATTTCGGCCTAAAATTTCACATCTTCTCGAATTTTTTTTTTGAAAATGCGTAGGATTTCGAGGGTATGTCTACTCACCAAAAATAATTTTCATTCATCCCCGCAAACGAAAATAATTTTTTCAGTTTGATTTGAAATTTTTCAATTTTACCGAAAAATTTATTCACTTTCCTGAATTTTTTTCTCGAAAATGCGTAGGATTTCGAGAATATGTGTTTTCACAAAAAATGATTGTAATTGTCCCCCGCAAATAAAAATAATTTTTTCAGAACGATTTGAAATTTTTCAATTTTGCCGAAAAATTTGTTCCCCTTTCTGAATTTTTTTCTCGAAAATGCGTTGAATTTCGAAGGTATGCCTATTCACCAAAAATAATTGTAATTAACCCCCACAACCAAAAATAATTTTTTCGTCACGATTTGAAATTTTTCAATTTTACCGAAAAATTTGCCTCCCTTTCTGAATTTTTTTCTCGAAAACGCGTAGAAATTCGAAGGTATGTCTATTCACCAAAAATAATTGTAATTAACCTCCACAACCAAAAATAATTTTTTCGTCACGATTTGAAAATTTTTAATTTTACCGAAAAATTGTTCTCCCTTTCTGAATTTTTTTCTCGAAAATGCGTTGAATTTCGAAGGTATGCCTATTCACCAAAAATAATTGTAATTAACCCCCACAACCAAAAATAATTTTTTTATAACGATTTAAAATTTCTTAATTTAGCCGAAAATTTTTGGATAAATTTTGTTTGTTTTCTATTAAATTACAAATGTTATCGTCAATTTCAGATCATCGAGCGTCACGAACTTACGAAACCATCTAATATGTTTCTATTTTGCAGTGAAATGAACTCTAATATCGTACTTGCCTAATTGCTTTCACGAATCAACGAAACACTTTTTATATTTTCCACGTTTTCGATGTGGTATTACGAAACCGTACTGGCACAGAATTTTATGTAATAACGCGATATCCCGGTCCGGTTGCATCGGTTTAACGATCGCCAGTAACAATACAGAAAAGTTTAATTAAACCAGAATGCCGTGTGCCTCCCATCGAGCTTTAATTACCGATAAATTGATAACATTATTACGGCATTAGCGTGCCGATGCAGAGCCTCTATTTTTATAATGCCGCGAAATCACGTGGCCCTATAGAGGCATCGATAATTCACTTATCGCGGATCACCGGAACCGAAAGAACCGAATAAAACTGTTATCCATTACGTATGTATAATGAAGTCGCGGTACACGCTCTAAATTACCATTTCGCGCTGGACGCGTCCCAAAATACACGTTATCGATGCGTCGTTCTCTACTCCGCCAACGGGCGTCCCGTAATAATTGAAAACCTCCCTCGAATCACTATGATTCACTCACCGAAACCAGAACCCTCCCAGAAGTTTGAAATTCGCGCCAATGAAGACCAAAATGGCGGAAATCGGGAGCAAAACCAACTCAGATTTTTCATTCGTTTCACGTTGAATTTACCAAATATGAGGTGTGTTATCTTTTTGTCACGATTTTCCACCGTATTTCCTTGCTTTCTTTCCATATAGGAACGGAGACAACGCTAAACCCCATAGAGTCCTCCCAGAAGTTTGAAATTCGCGCCAATGAAGACCAAAATGGCGGAAATCGGGAGCAAAACCAACTCAGATTTTTCATTCGTTTCACGTTGAATTTACCAAACACGAAGTGTGTTATCTTTTTGTCACGGTTTTCCACCATATTTCCATGCTTTCTTTCCGTATAGAAACGGAGACAGCGTTGAATCCCATAGAGTCCTCCCAGAAGTTTGAAATTCGCGCCAGTGAGTTCGAAAATGGC